AGAACTGGAAAGTCTACAGATAAACAGACATAATAAGAAATGAATATTAATGATGTTTGTGTTTAATTTCAGATTTAACTTCTCATGTGTTTTATAATATTAATACTTTGGTTGTTCCAAATTCAACGCAAAATTAAAGTTAGTTTTCTTATGAAAAAAAAATCTACATTACAAATCTAGAGAGAAGGGGAAACAAATTGTCATCTTTCTTTTCAATAAATATTAAGTTTGGACCGAGACTTCGTCCCAGTTTTTAATTTTGGCCCACAGTGAATTGGAGAATCTAAGACAAGTGTCTCCCAGGCTGCATTCCCAGAGGGAAGTGAGCGTTCATCTGATCCTTAATCCCTTCACTACTGTCTGCTCACTGCTTATCAATGAACCCCCTCCCACACACACTCCCACCTCCTAAGCAAAAAGGGAGAACGAGCCAAAGTGTTAGAGAAGAGGAGCAGCACACGTGTACAGGCCATTCACGTCTGCCGTTCCTCCATTTTCAAGCACAAGCTCCAGTTTTTCTCCACAGCAGATTTGCATATCATTTAGACATTTTCCCTCTCTGGTCAGGGAGCCGAGGCTGCCAGCATCTGATCGTTCACAGCTGCACAGAGACACAGGCCAAGGCAGCAGCAGCAGCAGCAGCAGCAGCAGCAGCAGCAGCAGCAGCAGCAGCAGCAGACACTGGTCTGAGGTGATGAGTGATGAGTGATGAACAGACGGCAAACTTTAACTACGACTGCTAGCGCACATGCTAACCTTTGGAACTGAACCAGGGTCGGAAGAAATTTTACTTTTACTAAATCTTAACTTTATTTTAACCTCGTCTCAAGAAGATAAGCCACACCCTCATGCTGTTAATAATACACGTAATATTTATATATATTTTGGTGAACAGCAGAAGGTCAGTCACCTTCATAGAGCAATATATTAGGGAATATATGGATGAACTTTTCTATGGACTGTACGCAGATTCTTACAGCTCACACATGAGTATAAGCTGCAGGGGGCATTTTTAAAATATATATATATATATATAATGTATATGTACATAAATTGGGATTTCACAGAAATATATGAATATGTATATATAAATATCCCTACATATATGCAGATATATTGAGATTTCACAGATCTAAACATAGAGTACATATATATATATACATATAAATATATATACATATACATATACACTATATATGTACATAATACACATATATATACACATATATATTAATGCCATGAGCTTTTTTTTGGAAACTGTTGCAAATTTATTAAAAATAAAACACCTGAGAAATCACACGTACATAAGTATTCACAGCCTTTGCTCCATACTTTGTTGATGCCACCTTTGACAGCAATTACAACCTCAGGTCTGGGCTCTGGCTGGCCCACTCGTGGACATCCACCGAGTTGTTCTGAAGCCACTCCTTCGCTATCTTGGCTCCGTGCTTAGGG